ATAAAAAGTAATAATTATTTGCAAAGAAATGGCCCGTCCGATATTTGCCAAACACTAACAGCACAATCCTAAGTGAGGCTAATCTTTTAGATCTTCAAAATCAGTTTTTTGGTAAAATTATTGAAAACTAGCTGTAAGTGGAATTCTGTCTTAAGGCAATTAAGGCATCGTGCCTTAAGGCAAATTGCTGGAACTTTTCGTACCGCAATTCAAAATTCGAGTAATTAAAAATAATCAATAATAATCAATAAAAGTTGATCAATGGTTTGAAACTTTTAATAGACTTTCGAACCATATTAAATCATCATAAATCATTCTATCTTGAATAATTTATTTTGAAATATTTTGGAAATTCTGAACTTTTTTTCAAAGTAATCGTACTGCTTTAACTGCATAAAGAAACTGCAGAAATATAGAAGCGCGTAAGCGCCGCGTCGCCTTCTAACGCGTAAACATTGGTACGGAACCCATAGAAATGTAAACAAAATTTATACTTATTGTTAAAATCTCTATAAAATATCTAATTATATGATGTGCATATGCCTAATGTTTATTTTTGACCGCCAAATGACTCATTTTTTACTACTCAGTCGTTGCACCTGCCTTTCCAAAAAATTGAACAGTTCTTTACTCAGTTAATACAAATAAAATGTTTTTTTGAATTATTCAAATCGGACGATCCGTTCTGTAAAAAACTGAGCTACCGTTTTTGGCACTTTTTGCCCCGTATCTTCGGAATGGCTAAACCTGCCTTCGCCAAAAACTAATCAGCACGTCTCCTTCTCAATACGAATCGAATGTTTTTTGAATTATTCAAATCGCTTCATCCGTGTTACCGAAATCGTCGACGAAAATTTGTATCCGCACATACATACACACACACATACATCCATTTTTTCTAAGGTATGCCAAAATGTTCAGAAGGATTTTATGAATATATAATTATATTTAATTTATATAAAAATTTTCAATTTCGATTTTTATATAAATTAATTGTTTTAGAGAGGTTAATAAAAAATATCAGGTATGAAGATATTTGTTGAAAATGGACGAATTTTACCATAAAAATATTATATAAAAGCTATTTCCAAAATTATGAAAAACAAATATCAAACTTCATCAAAAATATGTATTGTGTTTCTGTATATACGCAGCGTTCTGGAAAATATTTTTAACGTAGTTTATACAGGGTTCAAAATTGTAAACTATATAATTCCACAAAGCAATTTCCTACACGCGCAATATTTCGCAGTTGCAAATCGCACGATAAAGTTACGAATAGAGCACGAACTTGCCGCTAGAAAAATTTTCAATTCGTGTCTAGAGCCAGCACCGAGCGAACATTACCTTCATCCAACTCCATAATGTATACTTGTCGACGAGTGCAACTGACAATATATAATTGATGAGACTGTAAACAACTTCAACTATTTTTGAAGAAATCCGCCACATTTCCAGCGACGATTTTCCGACCGACATAGGCACTGCCGGAGCGCGAGTTTTAAAAGCTTTTCCTAAATCCATAATCTATTTTGACATATTTCAGAACGGCTGTCTAATACGCCGTTGTAATGTGAGGTGAAAGGTATATTATGATTTTGCTTCTCATGCATGCCTTGGCAGGAACAACCGAGAGATAAAACTTGAATTGTGTCAAAATTTATATTTACGAACTTGATATTTATGAACAGGCTTTGCTCCTAAATGGCTGATAAAATAACTATTTAATTTGAATTTCAAAAGATCATGACAAAACAAAAGCCTTAACAATGCCTTTTTGAATTAGAGATGCCTAATTAGAGATTACCTATATTTTATTTATTTACTGTCTTCCTATTTACTATCTATTAATGGATCATTTTGTAATTGTTGTGATATTTTAATCGTTGATTGTTCAGAAGGTTGCCCCAAAAATTGTTTTTCTAGTTCTGATTCATTTTTATTATCTTTAGAAGAGTATTTTTTTACTTTTTTATATTGTTACAGCAATGCCCGCGAAAGGTATAGTAGTAATAAAATTTAATTTTAAGTAGAAAACTAAATTTATACTTATTGACAGACGGAAATTTATACTTGCCGGAGCCAGTTTCATTCGGCTCAATTTCATTTTATTTTAAATTCGTATACCAAATACATAATTTTGGTTTATTGTTATTTGCAGAAACAAAAAATATCTTAAAATCTTAAATCAAAACCAATTTATATATACGCAGTCAGAAACTATGGTATTTTATATATAATTTGATTTATGTATAATTTATATATACGCAGTCAGAAACTATGGTATTTTATAACGTAACGGTCAAACGAAATGACGTATGTACGGGGTCTAGATAACCTGGCATCGTGCAGCAGCGATATCCGTTTTCACTTGATAATATAAAATCACAATGAAGAATTTACGGATAACATACCATTTAGTTAGTATTAAAGAGGTATGGAGAACTGCTTTAAACAGAATTTTGCTCTCAAATTGAACTATTATTATCACCATTTCAATTACTACATAGTGCAATTGACAACGTCAACTTTGCCAAAATTATAGTCATAATGACTATTATTTATGAGTATTTAGAGACAGAGAGGTTTCATAGAGCCAGAGAGAAAAGTTTTATAGAGAATTTATTAATATATAGCATTTTTTCGCGAATTTAATTTTTAGGTTGTGTAGTAATATATGAATACTTTGAAAATACTTAAACTTTTAAGAATCACTATTTATTATACTTGATTGTGTTTCTCATTGAAAATAGGCCATTTCGAACACTGCGGTGTGAAATGGCAATGGAAAATTTCTCACACTATTCTTCCTGAATCGAGTTGGAGTTTAACTCAGCTCACGAACCTGGTCTAAGGCAGTACTTAGAATACTGCTAATCCATAGAACTGCACTTATACCCATAAAATAAATAAACCCCATAAAACAAACCCATAAAATAACCAAAAATCATTCAAATGCTGAGTTTCAGTATCAATCAATATTCACCAAAATATTTGTAATTAACAGATCATGTAATTTTAGTGCATTTCTATAATTTTTTTTCAACGTTGGAATCTAATTTCATCTCAGTGGTTATTAACAAGATTCTCTTTGGGGAATCTTAAGAACAGTGGGTGAGACCATAATTATACCTCTTAAATATCCACAGTATTTAACCGGAAAAAAAACATGAGAGCGCAGATTAAGAGAATTCCGAAGTCAACTATGAAAATTTCCTCTAACCAGATTTCGTGGATTTTAATTAAAAAGTGCAATGCTATGCAGATAACTCGGTGACAACGTCCGCGAAAAAATGCATTCTTAAAGAATCATGTATTTAAAAGTATATTCGTCTACGTTTTGCAAGATAAATTTAATTTTAATTTTTTTAAAGATATTATCTAGATTTATAATCAAATATAAATACAATGTAATATAAATAGGTACCCAAATGAAAGTTAATGGTTTTAAATTGCAATCTAAAAATAAAACCAGATAGATTTATATTGTAATTACTGCATAGAAAAGCTTCAATACAAATTCTATTTCTATTTACAGATTATATTCATAATTGAGTTTTTTTTTAATTATTATTAATGCTTCAATTTTTTCGAGAGCTATCAAATTTATATGTAATTAAATTCAACGAATTATAAAACATAATATATACTGGTGAGCAAAAAATTATGAATAACAAAGTAATAATTTAAAAATATTTTTATAATTGTTCATTTAGAATAAATATTATAAAATAATAATGTAATGTAATACTATTTTTTTGTAAATCTTCAATATTCAGTTGCGTGTAATATGAAACATAAATGTGATGATTTATCATTATAACTATATACAAACAATTCTTTATAGATTTATTTTATAGTAGTTGTTAGTATAAAAGTTATAATAGTAATAAATATTGTAATAGACGCAACTAAATATAGACATATACAAAAAAGAATATTACATTACATTGTTCTATTAAGATATTTACTTCAAATTCACAATTATAAAAAAATATTTTTATAATTATCACATTAACTTCTAAAAATTTTTATGTATTTGAGAAAACAGAAATTGACTGAAATATAGTTTAACCCTTTCGCTATGAGACTGTTTCAGACAAAGGCCACACTGCTGTACAAGCCAGCAAGCCTCCCAAGTATTATATTTGTTACGCAAAATATTAATTTTCCTGAAAATATATTTGAAAGTTAAAACTACACTTTTAAAAAATGAAATAAAAAATAAAAACCGCAGTAAAAATTAACTTTCATAATAATTTACCACAGATGTCAAATATTGAAGCACTTGATGTCGTTTATATGCGACACTCGATCGTATCGAAAGGGTTAAATAATAATAATTAAATATAGGCTTAAATAATAAATTCATGAATATGTTATGACAATAAATCATAAGAATTGCGATAAAGAGCATTGTTATAAAAAAAATTACGATTACCTTTCACATGATTTCAACAAATTTACTTGAAGTCTATCGAATAGTAGTAAATCGATATGTGATAAATAAAAAAAATGAATAAATAAAAAAGTCGTTTACATGGTAGTTACTGAATATCATGTATCATATCTTCAAAGAATATTTGAAACGCAGCGAATTTAATTTTTGATCATAGATATATTATAGATCCTCTCATCTATCTACTATCTACTAACTTATGATTTCATTTGCATGTGTTTCCAATTTCATTACAAAAGTCGTAAAATATAAATTGATTCATCACGTATAATTCATTCCTCCCTTACAAAACCCTTCATATTATTTCGACAGGACCCACATCTCACGTTCCAAAACCAGTAAAGAAGAAGAAATATGGCTCGTCTACGTTTGATAAATGGACCTCGATGATACTTTGAATTGTAATTTAATACCCAGACCTTCTGAAGGAATAGATAATGTGCACGAAACAGCGAGGAAACGATTCTAATTAAAATATATTAAGGCAGAACAGAGCTTTGAAGAGATGTCAAGTCAAAATGTATACTGATGCATGACTTACCACGAGTAGTCCGCGCGGAAAGTATCTGAAAGAGAAAAGCAGAAGTTAGTTAAATGATTAAAATTGTCCGCTTCGTGTTCAAGACAACAAATTGCGTACGGGCTCAGAAAAGGTCACTAACAGACTTAAAAGGAATTGCTAATTTATTGGAAGCTACATTTCTTAATTAAAATTAACTCGAAATAAATGCATTATATGAAGACTATACATAATATTCTAAAGACCACAGTTGAAGGTACATGCAGACCATACATATCATAATATACAATAATTGTTTGCATGCAGTGTTCAATACAAAAAAATATTTACATTTTTTTTTTTATTGGCCTCGCTTACATGCATTTAGCCACCTACAACATTTCTTTATTTATTCAACATTATTTTTAACTCAATTTCTTACTTCTAATTCTAATCAATTTGAACTCAACATTTCAAATTCTAACTCAAGACATTATTTTACTTCAAATACTTCTTCTATTTATTCGTTTTTACTCATTCTTCTAAATCCATCTTCTTCATTTTTCTACTAATGCTATTGCGTCTTCTTTTATTTTTTTTTTTTTTAGCTTGATACTATTTTTTTATTCATACATACTAACTTATTCAATTACAATTCTATATTATCATACACAAATTCATTATTTCATTAGAAAGTGCCTGGAATCGAACCAACGATCTCTGGCATGTGAGTCGGACATGCTAACCATGAGCTATGTCCGCCACTACTTACATATTATATGTATATAGTATATAACCATAATAACATGCTCGGTTTTAAAGTCACATTTTTATTTTATTTTTTTTATTTATTTGAACAGCGATCAGAACTTATGAGTCCTATGAGCTGTTGTGATAAATCTCTTACAAACTACGTTTATTTTATTATAGATGGCAACCCAAACAGTTGTCATATCTCTATGTGATAAATTTTAATATTACAATTATTGTAATAATGATGATTTTTAAGTAGTGCAGCAATGCCGTATCAGAGCTGTTTTCACTTGGAATCATATGTCCTATCCTATCTAAATTTTCAAGTGAAAACCGTTGTCACTACTGCTTGACAACAGACTCCTCGAAGCGGATTCGAACCCGGGACCCCTGATCCAGGTCCAGTCGTTCTAGCCACTTACATACGAGCAAGCCCTCAAGTTTCATTTAATTTAATAGTGTACCAAGATTGTGTGCACTATTAAATTAAATAGTGTACTGCTATGTCATTGACTATGACATAACAGTACACGTCAGACGAATTTGATACTTAATGATTAAACCACAACAGACAATAAATAAATTTATTTAATGTAATATTACAGTCAATATAATAAAAAATTAAAGGGTAGTAAGTCCAATAACATATTACCCTCATGATAAAAATACAACATACAACTCAATTTTTCTTACAAATTTATTTTTTCTAACAAAACTGCAACTGTCTTATTAATAAAAATAAAGTCAGGAACATGATGATATTTATATCATCAATTTATAAAGAATTGGATAAGAAATTGAAAAGCAATTTCAGAAAAATAAAATAAATTTGATATAATTTTATTTTGTTATTTAGTATTAGTATTGATATAATGATTAAATTGATGCAAAAACGAGTGGTGCATGGCATTGTGCCTGAAGGCGAATCGCTGGAACTTTTTGTACCGTAATTTATTTTTTTTATTAATTTTCAAACTCACTTAAGTCGTCTGATTCAAATTAACAAAAATGTCAATATGAACATTGTCAACTTCGTCAATTCAATCCAAGAACATTGGTTTGAACTATATAACGGAATCCATAGAAATAAATTGAAATGTACATATATTAATTAATTTAGATAATATTACTGTGAAATTTTTTAAAATCGGAGTTGCATATGTCTAATAATCACTTTTGACAGCCAAATTCTTATTTTTGAGACTGTATCTTACAAAGCGTTGAACCTCTTTTCTATTTTAATCAAATTAAATATTAATTCGTTTTGTTTTAAACAAACTATAAATCATATTTACGGTTTCTATTTGATTTTGTGTTTTCTAAATAAATTGAGCGTTTTATCTATTAAAAAAAAAAATGGAATTTGAAACATATATACGTCTTTTTAGTTTTTCTTTAATTAACTGAATGATTGTCTGATATTTTTTGTTCATAGTTTATATGTTGTTATTAAAATATTATAAACAATACGTTATTATACATTTTACATTATATTGCCAATAAACATTTTGAAGTTTCTTTCCAAATAATTAGTTTGACGATATCTATTATTATTACTATTTTGTGATAAACAAAAATTGTAAATGTAAAGAGAATTTTAATGGAATGTTAATATTCTGAAACAACATTGTCAACATCATAAGATAGAAAATAACTAATATGTTTTATATAAATTTCCAGGTAATTTACTGTTAAGAAATAAATACTAATAATATTATTACCAAATTAAGTAAAACTTAAAATAGAAAGTTGAAATAATATAGATAAATTCTAGTAAAAATGAACTACTTGTGCATGTGCATACAATATACCGACATTTCAAATATGTAATAAACAATAGATATTTCAATAATTCATTCCATTATATATATATATATATATATATATATATAAATTACTATTGAAAACTATAACTATATAAAATAGTCAAGTAGAGAAACTATTGTATTCTACTAAGTATTCTCGCATAAATATCGCATGCAATCAAAACTTTCTGAATAATCTAAAACAAAAATTGCTTCTACATCTATCGCATCTTTTTTTTTCAGAAAAATCCGGACGATTGTATAATACTCGAAGAATTTAAAAAATGAGAATACGGACGCGAGTGAGATTCCTGAAGAACCTCTTCTCCAGTTATTTACACTGAACTAACTTCTCAAATACGAACTGGTATAATAACTTTTTGGCGTCGAGAGCCCGAAGTTCAATGAACACACATTTCTATGCCATAATTTAATAATATCTCTCTCCTCGAGATATGGAAATTCAATTTCACAGTGAAACTGTATAGATTTACGCATACAGTTTGACTTAGTTCCACGACCAACGGTAGAATATGGAATATTTTTCAAATGTCACACAATTCGACTGTTATATATATATATATATATATATATATATATATATATATATTTATATATATGTAACATTTGTTATTGAAAAATATCAAATCAAAAAATCTAGGGGCCTTTTGTCAGTCTTATTATACTCTTAAGTAGAAAAATTTAAAAAACTTGAATATGAACATAAAAATTGAACTACTTTTGGTCTTTTCTTATAAAATTTTGTGTATGTCTTTTCAAGTACATATTGCTTCCGTATTTGAGGTGAAATTGCTTCTAGATTGAACTCAAAATATGACTGTAGTAAAACGTATATTTCCAGGCAAAATCTCAAAAGTACGTCTCTCCTTCAAACAATATTGTGAACTCAACTTGATTCTTTGCAGTGGAAATGTTATGAATTTAATATAGTAAATTCATTGAATTGCAACATGAGTTAGTCCCAGTACCATTAGAAACCACAGATATTCATTATTGATATTGAGTTAAATATTAAGCATACGGTAAATGTTAATGAAATCATTTAATAACACTCCCATAAGTTGTTGAAAATTTAATATTTGCAAACAAAAAATTTTGTTACGTTATTTTATAGAATTTACGTTCAATAGGTCAAACGGTTATTAAAAGTTCACCATTGCAATGAAAATATAATTCCCGTTTTATATGATTATCAATTTATTATTGCCCTATTTTCATACACATTCTGTAATTAAATCGCTCTATGCACAGCATTATATATAGCAAAAAATAAAATTCTTTTTTTTTGCAACATTCATTTTGTAATGAAATCAATAAAATTATCTGAGCACTATATTTGATATATTTTCATTATTAGAATTTCTCAAAGCTCTCCGAGCTGGGTAACGAGCTTGGAATCTTTGGATTGGAAAGCTAAAAATTTCTTCTTTAAGCCTCGATGACTTAGTTTTTGTTAAATTTACTAAATATATCATTGAGTAGCATTGCAGTTAATTCTGTTATTTATTTAAGTTAATGTAAAACATTTTAAATTGCTATTGGCGATTAATTTAGTTTAATAGACAAGTAAAGTATTGATAGTATTAATGTCACACTTTTGTTAGTAACGACCTTTATCGTTCACAATATATTTACTGCATCTAGGCGACAATAAAGTGAAATAAATACATAAACTGTTGAGATTTTATCACATATCAGAAAGCGTAATCTGTATTTAAACCGCGAACCATAATATTTTTTCATAGTTCGAACTGCAACGGAGTGCACATATATTTTATTTCTATAATGTCATCGTAAAAAATATTGAATTACTTCCCTTCAAGAACACGTAGCAAATATATCATAAAAAATAGTTCAGATTCAATTAAAGTTGCAATAAAATATTTATTGCATATAATAATTATTTTTTAATTAATTTGATTGTTATTTATTTCACAAACGGTAATTTAAATATTCAGGCTACACTGTTATTGTAAAACTTTTGCTTTCGCAACCTAAACTGATGTGTTTAAGAACTGTTACTCGCAAAATTTAAGTATATAATACAAAATTTAATAGACAGAGTATGACAAAATTGTTTATCTAAATATTTTAAGACCAAAACATTAAATGAAATGAAACAAATTTTCAAAATTCTAGCGTAATTGAATTTTGTGGATTCACTATAAAATGGTTTAGTAATATTGATATGTTCAATAAGAAATGATCCCTACAATTTGTAGGTACTCTATGCTTATAATTTGAATAATTTTTTTATAGCCAATACTTTTTCAACATAAATCACAACTAAAAGCCCTATATAAGCAGTGGTGATAATATTTCTACTTCGTGAAATGTAGGTTCTTAAAAAAAAAACAACGGAAATTTAAAAGGAAATCTATATTTGATGTGTTTTTATTATTACAAGCTCTCCAATACGACTGATCATCATTTTAATGCAGTATTATCGATTGAAACTAATTTTAAGTAAATTTTCAGGTAACCAAAA